TGGTTCTTTGTGGAACCAAAAATGGTTCTTCTATGGCATCGCTTGAAGAACCTTTTGAAGCACCTTTATTTTTAAGAGTGTATGATAACAAAGCTTATGACAGTAAACATGTTTAGAGGGCTATTTCTGACTTCTCCTTTAAACAGTAAGAGGGAGTGATTTCTTTTGAAAATCAGTTGCCCTTTTTGACAGCTGTGTGCTGATGTAACCTGTTTCAGTGAAGATTCAAGTTGGACTTTCCTGTAAAAACCACATCATGAGAGTAGTTTCAGTTAGATCGCTAATCATGCAAATGGGTCATTGTTGCTTGGACCCTGATGATTGCTGCTTGTGGCTATATGTTTTTAATTGTAGTATAGATGTTGTATAGATGATATACTATAGATTAAGTATAGCTATTGAATGTTTGTTTTCTTTGGTGTTGCCACCCCTTACAGTCCTCACGCCATCCCCTTGCCACCCTAAACATAATTTTTTAGATCTGCCCCTGTAAATAGTTAGTTATTTTAATCCTATTGTTTGTTACAGTGGCATACTGGTTGCCCGCCCCCTTGCTGTTATTGTAATGCAGTCAAGAGCCTGCGTTTCAAAGATGGCAGTTGAGTGAAATGACATGCCATAAAGGGACTTTGATTTAGATCTCCTTCCGTTGCATCAAAGGTTGCAGCGCTGCACTGGAGCCAAACACAGTCATGTCTACTGAGAAGTGAGCACAGAATGCAATAAAATCAATATTGCAATGCGATTTCTGCAATCTCACAAAAACTTTTATCATACAAACACAGTGAAAAATGTAATTAAGAGACTCGTTGAGCAGTGTAAACCGTCATTGATTATAACAGATTTTTATGGCGAAAATGCAAAAATCAAATCACCAATAGATTCGCGCCAATCTTGCAATAATAACAATAATGGTTTTAATGCTACTAGCAGAACAGTGTGAACTTGATCGTTTAGTCACTATCTTGACTCACTATTGCATAAAAAGCAGTAAACTACATTTTTGATAGCTTTTCTCAATCGCCTGTATCAAGTATTACCCAGACTTACTTTCATATGAGCATGTGCAGATGATAATAAATATTACAGTGGATATTTCAAATAAGGTGTTTACACAACCTAGTCTATTAGGAACTTAAATTGGCTTCATCAGGTTATTGCAATCAGGTTACAGTTTTTTTTCCTCACTATTTTCACAAGTAAGATTTTGAAAACTCTTAGTACAACAATCCATACTGATCACACTTTTAACACAGTCATTCTTTCAAAACCTGATCTCATGCTTTCATTACAATTACACACATTTTCAGTCAGCATAGTCATTGTTTCAGAACACAAGATTATTGTAATATGTCATGAAGACTTTTTTTTTTTTGTCAAAAAGAGCTTTATTGCCAAGTATGTTTACACACAAAAGGAATATGTGTTGGCGACAGGAGCTTCCAGTGCAGAAGAAGTACAGACATAGCATACATGACAGTGTAGACATACAGGAATTACACAGTAGATATGAAATATAACACTAATATAAGAAAACTGAAAAATTAAACAATACAATATAATTCAGAAGTAGAAATATAGAGGGGAAAAAACATATATAATTGTTTTAATGAATGTACAGATATGTTACAGTATGATATTTTACCAGTCAGTTCATTTAATAGAAAACAATGCAAGATACATATTTCAAATCACACTTGTTGTTGAAATAATTACAGTAACTCAGTCTACAGATGCCACATTAGAAAATACACTTACATTACTTAACTTGCGTAACTGGCATAAAATCTGGTATCTCTTCAGTGTGTCACCAAAAAATGTCCCTATACGAGGTTAAAAATGAATGGTATTTCCATCCTTGTGTAATGTAGGGTTTACCAGGACCAGAATTACACAGTAGATATGAAATATAACACTAATATAAGAAAACTGAAAAATTAAACAATACAATATAATTCAGAAGTAGAAATATAGAGGGGAAAAAACATATATAATTGTTTTAATGAATGTACAGATATGTTACAGTATGATATTTTACCAGTCAGTTCATTTCATAGAAAACAATGCAAGATACATATTTCAAATCACACTTGTTGTTGAAATAATTACAGTAACTCAGTCTACAGATGCCACATTAGAAAATACACTTACATTACTTAACTTGCGTAACTGGCATAAAATCTGGTATCTCTTCAGTGTGTCACCAAAAAATGTCCCTATACGAGGTTAAAAATGAATGGTATTTCCATCCTTGTGTAATGTAGTGTTTACCAGGACCACACACACACACACACACACACACATATGCACTCTTGGAACATAGTGGTTACCATCTAAGATAAATCGCTTATAATGTAAAAATAATTCTTTACATTTTGGATTCTGTATTGAAAAACTGGAAACAAGTTCTATAAAAACACTTATATTGTGTTGTGAACAGGATACTTTTTGATTTAGTGTTTTGTACTCACACAATTGAAAACATGTTGAAATTATTGAAAAAAGAGTACTTTTGATGATCTATTGTGATCTATTGTGAGTTTTGAAAGTGTAACGCTTGTGTAAATTGTTGCAAAGCAATTAAATTTTTTTTTAATAATTTTCATATTATAAGCGATTTATCTTAGTTTATGTTCAAAGTGCGTGGTCCTGGTAAACATTGGATGACAATACCAGTAATATAGACCTTGTGGGGACACTTTTTGGTCTCTATGAGGAAAACAACTTATAAATCATATAGAATGTTTTTTTTTGTAAAAATGCAAAAGGTTTTCTGTGAGTGCTGTGTTTAGGGATAGGGTTAGGGAATAGAATATACCAACTGTATATTCTAACCTTTATGTCTATGCGTCTCTAATCATTAAATGTGCTCAAATTGATACCAGTTATAATGACGGTGATTGTGTCACTTGTGATCACATCTGATCTCAGGTTCAGTTTTGAGTGAATAAACACAGATCAGTTGTTCACTGATCATCTCAATAGTTTATGACTTTAAACACAAAGATGGAAAAAAAATAATTTTCATAATTCACGTATGTATACAGTGCAACAGAAAAAAACTGAGGAAAAAAATTTTTTACATTTGTTTAAAGCTGTTATATGCAAATAAACACAAATGAAGGTGCCATACAAAACAGGAGATTATGGAAATTCCAAAAGGCCTCTATACTAGTCGCCTTGCCTTGACTGCGTATGCTACTATGTGGATCTGTTCAGAATTACTAAACACACCAAAATACAAATAAAAAACATAGTAAATGCTTCTTCTGTGAGCATCCATGATAAAACACTCGGCAGACATGAATTTCAACAACTTTGTGAATATACTGAAATTATGCTTGCAATATTAGCAATCAGTGTGCTAAGAGTGCGCATACATGTTTTGTTTGATAATAACAATAATAACAGATTCCAGCATGCCTAATGTATGACTCCTCTATGCCACCTTGATTAGAGTCGTCAACCATCTAAACTTTACTAGCAAAACACTGGTTTGCGTCATCCAATGAGAGTCAGTTCCCATAGGAAAAATGTATTGCTCAGTGGTTGCTTTTCCTAAGCTCAGGAGACTTAGATGAGATTCTCATATATAATATTTGAGAGAAAAAAAAGTCAAAACCGAGAATGTGTTGGAAGAAACATAAAATATCTTTTTATAGTCTTGCTGCAATCTCTATCAAGACTCTATTATAGGAATACTTTATTGCTCAGTGGTTGCTCTTTCTAACCTCAGGAGACTTAGTTGTGATGATCATGTATTTCTCATTTTAGTCTCAACAGTGTCTCAGATGTTTCTCCTAAAAATCCTTAGGAGAAATAAAAGTAGACGCAACTGAGACATGAGAAATTTCTGAAAGAAAGGAATCCAAAATGACAATGGGAGAGAAACGTGTGAGAAACATGGGAGATCTCTTTATTGTCTTGCTGTAATCTCTTGCAAGAGTCCATTATGAAAATGTTTTACTGCTCAGAGGTTGCTGTTGCTTTTTTTATTGCAATGGGTTTTTCACCTTTAATGGTCAGGACAGTAGGAGTAGAGACAGGAAACAATTGGACAGGTGAGAATTGAACAGGAGCAGGAAAGTACCTTTAGCTGGGATTTGAACCCATGTTGTCTGAGGTGCAGTTGTGCCTTCACATCGATGTACTGCCCACAAGGCTATGGCTCTGACAGGTTACTCTATGCTCAGGATACTAACATTTCTTCCATGTATTAATAATCAAATTAGTCAATTAATAATCAAGACTGAGTCATAAGCCATTTACGTGCCTTTCAGCAAAGAAAGCTCCAGGGTTACATTTAGATCAGTTTTGATTAAGGCATCTGGTACATTACTATTTTTAACAACAAATTATGTGCCTAAGTACATAAACATTGTCCTATAAAAAGTAACATTATCATAATGTTATGATTATGTTATAATGTTATAACATAACTCTGATGTAATTGACTGGGTTTTGTGGGACTAGACGCTATAGACACATGATGGACCTTGAAAAACTGATCTAACCTAATCATATATATTTTGAGTAATACAGAATATTAAGGAGAAAAAAATATCTAGTTCAAAAGATTTACGATTACTTCAGAAAGTTCAGCCTTTACTGAATGCTCAATTAACTCTTCTTACAGGTGGTATTGGACTAGTGGGCCTTGCCACAGAAGATATTCACTGAAGTCACTGAAGTATATTCCACACCAAACACTGAATAATGAAAATAAATGCCTTGTCTGCAAGTAAAGATATTTTATTTACAGTATAGGGGCTGTACATAATAAACAGACATGAGATTCATCAGTACATGTTCACCAAACTATACATGTGATCTTCTGCGTTTGAGTGAACTGGTTTGTCAGGGATCGTGGAGTACATGTGATAAACATTCTTAAGAAAGAAGAAAGACAGACAGAAAAGACATGCAAGATTGAATGTGTTAGTATTCTGTTGATGATGGACGGTCATGTGGGCTTGGGGTGTGACAGTGTTCAAACATACCTCATTTTCCTCCGGATTTCCCTGTTTCTGTTGTTTACTGACCAAAACATCTGTAAAGCAATGCAGAAGCATTTGACCAGTCAGATCACTTTTAAAAAAATGCGTTGACCTTGCGTTGAACTTGAAACACATAAAAACGCAGAAACACGTGCCTTGTTGCTAGGAGACGCATTACAAACGAAAGCAATATGTATTCTAAAATCAGCTCAAAATAACATGTTTGATATCCTCAGACTGGATGGAATCATAGACTGAAGCTGAATGATCAGAGTCTGTGACCATCATACATAGATTTCTGTGAAATCTGTTAACTCAAATCTGGAGACTGGCTCTGACTTTCAGCAACTAGTTTTGACTTCTCCAGACTGTAAATCGGTGCAAAAACGAAGTAAAAGTCATGCAGTGTACTCCAATCTTTAACATTTTAGCACTTCTGATTCAGTGGGTTTTTTGAATGGGCTTTGGTAGATAACTGAAATAAGGTCTGTGAGTTTTTTTTTTACAATACAGCAGTAATATAGTACAATACCCCTTTGTGATTTAAATTTTTTTTTAAAACAAGCTTTTATGTATCTTAAAAAAAGACACACCAGACAGGTAAACTCATCTACTCATTAGTCTGCTTTTAAATACTCATTGTATTTATAATCATGCTCTTGCAAACTATTCTAACTCAGACTTTCAGGGAAAATGTTTTTTTTTTTTAAATAAAGACTTGTCGGAAGCAGGGGTATTTCAATCCTTTCATCAGTACTGGGGCACAGGCCCCCCATCAAAAAAGTGTGCCCATATTTTGATACTCCTTTTTAATCCTGCTTTGGATATAAATGGCTATAAATTGTCTTTTTCATATAGGAGGAGGGTGAACTAACTCCAGTGTAAGGCTAAAAGTAGCATAATGTTAGTGTAATCTATTAACTCCACACATCATAAACCCATCTTTTTAGGCAAGTACCAGATATGGGTGTCATGTCATAAGACATTTTTAATATGACGGAATTTGTATTTAACTTGATGACAATGTAATAAAAAATATGGTAAGTTACTGATTATAATGCTTTCATTTCCATGGTTATTCAAGCAGTGTGTAAATTACAGAGAAAGCGAGTAAAGAACATTTACATTATCAAAGAACATAAGTCTAGCGTGAGTTTAAGCACTCTCAAAAAACTCCGATTATAATCACTGAAGCTGTCTACACTGTATGATAAACAAATCTTACTTGTATCGTATGTACACCTGCATGTCGTTTATGATGAGAGAATTCGTAAGAGAGCAGAATTCAGTCAGCGGGCGTGCACTGAACAAAACACCGGCATTCCAGTGATGACTAATCTGAAGGCATTTGTTTGGCCATTGCATTCATAAACTCAACAAAATCGTGTGTGATTGATTATAATCCGCAACACTGAAAACATGTAAAAAGAAATATGATGAAACATTAGCAGATCTAATTTTAATGCCGCAATCAACACTTTTCAATTCATTTTCATTTTATTCGCAAAAGCCGTAACTGATATAATTTAATTGTGCAGAGGCATTTTTGTCCCAAGCCCCCGTTAATTTCTGACCCGTGGCCAGGGGAAGGCTAACCTTGCCCAGCCTTACACAAGCTCCACCTATGGTCTTTATCTTCGTCACAGAGTTGTTCAGAAGCTGCATGTGCAATAAATAGCAGCTTAGTCAATGACAAATGATAGAAGAAAAGTTTTTTTCCAACAATGAATGGTAGGTAAATCTCCACCTCATCCAGCTCTCTTTTTGTTCCGTTCTTATAAAATGTCCCCTTTACTATTGTAGCGTGAGAAACCACTGCAAACGATCCAGTGTTTGAATGAACTGTCCGAATGAATCAAACTAAATTGTGAACACTTTCAGATTTTTTGCAAACCCATTTGACCGATTAGTTAAAAAGAGTGATTCATTCGTATATCTGGCACGACTAGTTCTGATTCTAAACAGCGGATAGAGAAAACATATGACTTGATTGCTGAAATATTATCAAATGAAATCACACTTTTGTAGAGGGAATCAGGGTGATGCTGACTTCTGGGCTGGTTTGCGAAAATATGTAATTGCAGCAATCTACACTACAAAGGGGAAAGACTTTCATATGAACTCAAGTTGAATGGACTACCTTTATAAGAAGTTTATAGCAAATTATTTTCAATATAGTGTGAACTGTTCCTTTAAGAGAAGATGTGGCTAATTATGCTGATCTGCTGATCACTTGAAAGGGGAAGTGGGTGTAGTATCCTACCAGTTTCTGAGAAAATGTGGTCACTGCACAGTGTTTATAACTTTTAGACCAGTTGGTGATGTTGGTTAGCTACTAGGGTTGTGTGATATCACGATTTTTTATTGTGTATGATTAAAATGTCTCCACGATCTGCTTTTGAATAAATATTGTAGTATCTTGCTACAGTGCATGTTCTATCAGTTGCAGTTCTGGTGCCTCTGTCTCATACTGTACAACGCAACATACATTCACATCAAATGTTAACTCAGCAGTAGAGTTACACTCACGGGACACTGCACTTATTCGCTATCACAAAAGTACATTATTTGCATGTGCTTTAAAGACTTGCTGGTTAAACAATTCTTTCACGTCCTTTTCTGACATGCACACTAAAAAGCCTGCCTGATTACTGGACTAAGTCTTTCGCATCTGATTATGCTAATACTGTCAAAAACACACAAGGTTTACATATAAACACAGTTGGTTATGTCTAAAGTGAAAGTAAACAGTTCAGAGAAACGGATGCGTGCTTGTATATTAGATGTCTTACAGTGACAGTACTAAACATACTGCCGCTTGTCATTAAAGGGACAGTTCATCCAAAAATTTACATTCTGTCATTATTTACTCATTCTCATGTTGTCCCAAACCTGTATTAATTTCTTTCTTGTGCTGAACACAAAAGAAGATTTTTTGAAGAATGTGGGTAGCCAAACAGTTGCTGGTCCTCATTGACTTTGAGAGTAGGAGAAACAAAATACTATGGAAGTCACTGGGGACCAGCAACTCTTTGGTTACCCACATTCTTCAAACTTAGGGGCCGTTCACATGTCGCGCCTAAAAACGCGTGGAAAACGCTAGGCGCGCTACTTTCTGCTTTTTTCCAAAGCGTTCGGGGCTTGCGCTCCGGAGGCGTCTGCCGTTGCTAAGCAACCATGACCTGCGCTCTCCATGAAGACATGGAATTTTCAGCAAAGGATAAATGGATTTGCAGCACTAAAAATCGCTTGCGCTCTGCTACTAAATTTATTTAAAAATGGCTATCTCAGTCTGTACAGCTATGATCAGCTGTTCCTTTATCTTGGCTGAGCTTTCAATGTTGTTACGGGATAGGATGAAGCTGATTGGTTGGTTCTTGTCACATGACCCGCGGTGCGCTTGCGGCATTCTGAAAAGTTGAAATGTTTTTATCTCGATGCGGCGCGGACGCGCCTGGAAAAAATGAGCGCGTCGCTTCCATTATGAGCGCGCCTGCCGCGGGTCTACATTTGAAATAACGAACTTGCGCAAAAGACGCGATATGTGAATGGCCCCTAAAGGATGACAGAATTTTCATTTTTGGTTGAACTATCGCTTTAATGTTTATAAAACAACAAAACACAAAGAGAAAAATCACTGACTGCTCTTGACTGAAGAACTTTAATACAGTTACTTTAATAAGAATAAATGTATAATTTATAGTGTTTTATTTTTATATTTGTTCATTCAGTTTCTTGAATGCTACTGCTAAATACACCTACTGTTCCTGAAAAATAAAGCACTGTTTGGTTTATTTGTATATTAAGTGTACTTGTAACGTGTATCTTTGTTCTTATTTTTTAATAACAAAGATAAAATAACGACAAAGTTTTTTTTATCTTCGCCCACTTTGGCCTAAATGTCTGCCATTCTTTTTTTATTTTATATTTTGTTACCTTGCAAGGCTTTGTTTTTAAAATAGGGAAATGAGTTTGGCTGTACTGCTCAGACAACTACCAAAATAGTAAAACCAACATGACAAAGAATCGTTAATCATTTTTCTGAAAAAAAAAACAAAAAAAAAATCGTGATATGATATTTTTGCCATATCGCCCACCCCAATTAGCTACTATGTTTTTAATTTATCTGATATCATTTCCTGAGAATGATGTTCTCTTACCTTCATATATGGGCTGAGATGTGGCTGGTACAGAAGTGATCAGAGAATATGCCTCTGCAGGTCCAGAACAACTCTAAATAACATAATCAATAGTTAAGGTCAAGTCCCTTTCAACAATTCTTATTAATTATGGTTTAATATAAGTATTTATAGTTAATATTATGGTGACACTCACCATACCAATTCCTTGACTGGGTACATCAGGTTTTATTGATTTTTCATACATGCATATATCAGATAAGAAGTTACACATTTACACATACAGCTCCTGGACTACAATATAGACTACTAACAAACATATAGGCCTACTACTAAATTGAATGAATATAAAACTTACTGTTTTCTTCTCTTTTTACCTAGAAAACAATGAGAATCAGTATTATATATTCAATTTTTATTCCTGTACATCACTTTGGTTGACTATCTGTTGTTTTATAAATATATTGACATTGAAATACTTACTTGCAAACCGGCAGAGACAGATGAGTCCCATGAGTCCAGACAAAATGACAGCAACACCAATGAAAACCAGCACTATAAACCATAGATCTGTGTCAAAACAAAACCAACACTTTAATCCATGTTTATGTCTATTATGATGTTTAATACAGTTACTGTAGATACATTAGTTCACCTGAAAATATAAGTGATACCCAAAAGAATTGTAAGTATATGTAGTGTTTTTTGTTTGTTTGTTTGTTTTGTTGTACGGAAAGGAGTAAATGTTCTGCAGAGATTTGAAAAAGAATGCAATGGTCAAATCAATTCAAATATGAAAGAAAAAAGACTAATACCTTTGTATGTTAGTGAGGGTGGACCTTTAGTATGAGCCACTGAAATGTAAACATGAGGACAATCAGCATCAGAAAAGACCTCAAATGAAATCACACTTGACTGATGCATGATGAGGATTTTATACAGCAGTGTTTCAGTATTTGATGAAGTTGCGTAAAAAGAAGAATTTTCCTTATATATGGCATAATACTTATATTTAGAAAAGATGCAGTAAGTTACCTGTTGTGCGGTACACTGGGGTTTCAGACGTGGAAATGACAGTGTCCAATTGTGAAGTTTGAGTTTGAGTGGATATTGATGTTGAAACTGCAGTGAGAACATCTCAAATTGTATTTAACAAACCAAACACTGGCATACACATATTTCTTTATATTGTTCTGAACTAAACATTGTACCAATAACCACAAAAAACAGATAACTGGACAGTGGAGGATAGATGCAAAATAATCTTTTTTTTGAATGAAGTTGTATATTGTGTGATACTGAAGAAGCATTCATATGTATGATGCATGTATGTGTAAGTCTGTAAGCCAGAGCTAAAAATGTAATCACATCTAATTAAGTCTGACAGTAATCAGTGTTCATTACTACTGTAAGGTTACCATGTCTGGTTTAAATGTTTGAAAATGGTTAACAGTTGAATCACTTGTTAGAAATTTAGAAATGTGATCAAATAGTAATTAAATGTAACTGTTTACATTAATAAAGTAATTGAAATAGTTAGGCTACACTACTTATTATTTTGAATAGGGTAACTTGTAATCTGTAACCTTTTACATTTCCAAAGTAATTTCCAAAGCAAACATATTGGGTGGAACACACAATGTTCTTCTAGTATGACTTAACATTTTGCTGCGTTCCAATTCGCCTATACAGTACTATGCCCTAAAAGTGTGTACTCTTTTTGTGAAGAAATATGAGTATGTAGCAGAATAGTAGGCAAGCTTTGGGACATACTATTTTGTCATAACTGCGTCTTTAACGGACACTCTGTTGCTTGCATCCTGTCACCATTTAAATTGCACTGTCAATCATCTTGTCAAAGTTAAAGGGGTCATATGATGCAATTTACATTTTTCCTTTCTCTTTGGAGTGTTACAAGCTTAACATTTCCGTCACACGCTTGAGGTATTCAGCCAATCTACATTATGTGGAAAATAATGTGTTTTTTTAACCTTAAACCGCATAAACACATTGCATTACACCAAATACACAACGTAATACTCTTTTTAGCAACGTCATATGACCCCTTTAACATTATCCATATTTCGTTTAATTTAATATACTACCGTATTGGAGAGAAATGAAGAGGCACGTTGATCTTCCAGTCGCGGGTCTATCAAGCCGTTCATATGTTTGCATAATGATGCATTTAAAAGTTAATGACCAAACATATTATTATAAAGTTCACAGTGTTGCTGTAGATGAGATAACGCATATAACATTACATAAATATTTTTTCAACAGGTTAGATATTGATTATTTACCTGTCCGTCGGTCTCGCATATCCACCATGTTTGTATTTTTTTAACACTTTTTATGCGTGTTTGTAGTTCTAATCGAATCCTCGTCCACTGTGCAATGTGTTGTGGGCAATATTAGCCATTAGAGTGTGCACGGATCTGCACTACGAATTTCTACCGGAAGCAGTAAACCATCTGGGTACCTTTTGAATACTCATTTCAACATACTACGATTTGGGACATACTAATTCTAATTTCGAATATTATTTAGGACGGATAGTATGTGAATTGGGATGCAGCTTTTGTTTAAATATCATTTTGAATCAAAATTATTTTGACGTGATGGTAACTTGGTGTCTAAGTATGTTCTGACATTCTACTGTTACCAGGCAGAGTAAAGGTTGCCATGGAAATTGCAAAAAAAAAAAAAAAAAGTGCCACAGCATGTAGTTATGATATTCAAATAGAATGGTTGGGGGGGAAACCATAATTCAAGTAACCATGTTAGAAAAAACAGCATAATCATGAACCATATCATTATTGAATTCTCTGAGTGCTATTGCTTACCATGTTTACATATAAAGTGTATCGCTGCAAAAGACATGTGACATAAGCTCATTGGTCAAACACGTCCATTTAGTGCATTTACATATAAAAACAATAATGGAATGGAAAAACGCATTCTGTGTGAACGGCCCATAACCATGTTGAAAAGGCAGCATAATCATGAACAACGTCATTAATTAATTCTCTGTGTCCTACTGCTTAGTGATTCACATGTACAAATAAACTTTCAAAATGGATCCCAGCTGTATTTTTTTAAATGACTTGAATCCAACATGTTAATTTTACACAGTGACAGAGTTTTACCATTGATAACTTACAGATTGTTTCCTTTTCTGTGTTGGTTGGAAGGTTTGTCTCGGAATGAAGGTCTACTAATATAAAAATAGCATATCGCAAGGGGAATCTCTTGTTAGAAGGGAATAATTTCTCAAATTTAATCTCAAATAATCTTAAATAATAATCAGAAAATGTGTTATCAGTAACTTACAAGTTTTACTGTATGTTGTGGTTTCAGAAGTGGACATTACAGTTAAAGCTGTTGAAAAAACATTGTGAATTTTGCAGTGACGTAGAAAATGTTCAACAAATAATCATGAGAGTTTGAAAGAATGATAGTTTTGAGGACATTCAGAATGGAGTAAGAATAAAAATGATTTAGAAATTAAATTACTCACAGGTTGTCGTGGCTGTACTCGTATGTTTAATGGTTGATGTTGAAACTGCAGAGACAATTTATCAGAATTACAGGGAGTCAGTTTACATCATTTATTATATATATATTTATGATATTACATTATCAGGGTAAATTTGCATGATTTGCAATCTTTATAGAAAAGTTTGTTTGTTGAAGGTACAGGTCCTTCAAATATGAAAAATAGCATATGTCACATTCTGGTAATGTAACTTCACATCACCTCTATATTGGTTCACATGAGTATATTTAAAAAAAAAACTCACTCTGGACTGTTACTGTCACTGGATCAGACTGAGCAGATGGTTTTTGAACTTGTAACAAATTCACAGTGTAGAAGCAGGTTATTCTCACAGATGAACTCTGACCTCCAGACCAAACACTGATCTGAGATCCAGTGAGTGAGAGCTGACATGATGAGCTCTATTTATGGATTTAATTGCACTCATTCCACTTCTGAGCCTCATTAAATGTCTGAAAGTACACCAAGCCACTTTTGTGTTCTTCTGTGCCACCTCTACAAATTAATTTTGTTAATACTGATTTAATTTGATTGGTAACTTATATTTCTTATTCTACTTGTTCTTATTCTGCCGTTTTAATTACAATTTTTAAAAAGCTTATAAAATTTAATTTTTTTAAGAATTTGACAAAAGATGACATACTTTTAATAAAGTTAGAGGAGTCAAATATCACCTCGTAATGGGAAGGCTACTTTTTGATAACATTTTGGATAATTGTTTAGAAGGTGCTCCTAAAATTTTTAACGCGCTCCTAATTTTTTAAAGTTTTCTTTAAAAGAAAAGTAAGCGTAGAGCCCTGCCTTCAAATAAAAAGTCAGAGGTATGGAAGCATTTTAGATTTTGCAAGCACGATGACAAAGATACTGTGGACAAGAACAAAGCTATTACAGGTTTGTGGCTCTTAATTTCCTATTAATTAACCATTTGTGATCTTATGTTCACTGTTCATTTTTTATAAATATAGGATTTGTATTAAATCTATATTCATTCATATAGTCTAATCGAATCGAGAATTTAAATCAAAAATCGAATCGAATATCGAATCGAAAATCGAATCGAATTGAGAGCTTGAAAATCGAAATCGAATCGAATTGGAACATCTGAATCAATACCCAGCCCTAAAAAACATTAACATTCAGTCCTTTTGTAATGTAAAATTTGTTAAATTCTGTGTTTGATGGTGTTAGTTGGTTTTACAAGATACAAACATCTATACAATAATAGCTTAGCAACACTTCGAATATTGATTGACACTCATGTAAACTAACTGTCGATCACTGAGCAATGGCTCTTTATTTGCATCCTGTTCAATTTTATTGCTGCTGTGTAAAAATCATAATCAAGTCATAATCAGTAAGGCACTTGATGAGCTCATATAGAGCATATTGCTAAAGGATACTTTAATTAAAATACTTCTGACTTCAAGTGTATTTTTGTAGTCACAGAATTAAAAAAGTTGCTGCAGAACATATCGAGAAGAACTTATAAAGAACATTTTGAAATATTTAATAATAATTAATAAAAATCACTTTTTGTTCAGTTTTCAGTTTGTTCAGCAGAAATGAGTTTCCATAGATTTGTCAGTCATAGTCTGGCTCTGTGAGATCTCAACTATGATCACATGTTTAGCTCAAACAGCTCTTCCTTCCTGTCTAAATGTATCAGATTGTTCACTAGTCAAAGTCACAACGTGGTTAAGTACTTGTCTGAAAAAAACCTACAAGTTATTCTGTGTAAGTAGAGTTCACAGATTACTGATTCGTGTATAATGAATGGATTGCTCTTATTGATCAATCGTCCTCCAAGATTTCATAATATCCTACTGGCTTACATAATAAATCATACTGGCTACAGAATTATACAGGCATCTCTATTCATTAAATGTGCTCATGTAAAAAATCATAATAGTAATAACTCACCTCTGATGGTGTATGTGTCACTGTGTGGTGATCTGATCTCAGGTTCAGTCTTGAGTGAATAAACACAGATCAGCTGTCTGCTGTTCACCGATCGTGTCAAGAGTTCACTACGACTTACATAAAACATACAAAGATTATTTCCAGACTGACTCCACTGCGAGACACATTGATACAGAAGAACATCGTCCTCAGTGTAGAGACTACAGATGAAATCAGCTCTGGCTGAAAGTGGTATTTCACATGATATGCTGAGCTGGTCATCATGATCACTAACACTGATGAAGGGTTTCGGAAGAATGGATTGCTCTTATTGATCAATCGTCCTCCAAGATTTCATAATATCCTACTGGCTTACATAATAAATCATACTGGCTACAGAATTATACAGGCATCTCTATTCATTAAATGTGCTCATGTAAAAAATCATAATAGTGATAACTCACCTCTGATGGTGTATGTGTCACTGTGTGGTGATCTGATCTCAGGTTCAGTCTTCAGTGAATAAACACAGATCAGCTGTCTGCTGTTCACTGATCGTGTCAAGAGTTCACTACGACTTACATAAAACATACAAAGATTCCTTCCAGACTGACTCCACTGAGAGACACGTTGATACAGAAGAACATCGTTCTCAGTGTAGTGCTGAGCTGGTCATCATGATCACTAACACTGATGAAGGGTTTCGGAAGTGAATCTGTTTAAAGACAAATGATCCAGTTATCAAAAACACTGCAGTACCAGTTTCTAAGACAGAAGAACAGCAGTGAAATATCTCACCTAGAACCGTCACTGTGGCGGGAGGAGAATGAGATGATGGTTTATTGATGCTTCGTTCATTTATTGTGTAGTAACAGTTAATGTAGATTGATACAGGTGATTTTACACCTGCCCATCTGAGCACTTCAGCACCAGTGAGCTCGAGCTCACATGATGACCTGACTTTTATATTCTTCTCTTCTCTGTTTGTGATGACTTAGATAAGGTTTGTCCAAGCAGTTGCTATATTTGTCCCTAAACTTTTGAAAAAAGTCTCAAAAGGGGCGGAGAAGTCGCTAAATCTAGCTACAAAGTAGCTAAATTGCCAACACTGTGACGGATACAACAGCAGCAGTGCTGATCACTTGAGAATGATCACGGATACCTGTCATCATCCAATCACAGCCCCCCTCACCAGTGTTGCCAGATTGGAAATGTCCAAGTATCGTACCAGAAGCTCAAAATTATCGTATTTGGAAGAAAATTA